TAAGAGAATTCTCCTCCCCTCCCGCCCTTCGACGTGGATGCCACCATGGGGCAGATCGTCTTTTACGAAATGTACAGCAGTGAGACTTCCCTACGAAAGTGCACAGAGACAAAAAAGAAAGCAATAAATTCAAGGTCAAAACAACACCCCAAGGGAGGGAGGGAGGAGGGGGGGTACCAAGTTCACAAGAAGCCCACGAACAGCCCTTATCCTGACCCAGATAAACCCAGTCCACACCCCTCACCCTATTTCCAAAAGATGCATTTTAATATTATCCTTCCAAAGCAAGTACAATTTGTTTTGTGTCTTTCGATCTTTAAGTTTTGGATAGCAGACAAGAACACGGACGATTCTTAATATCCGACATTAATTATTCTTAATTTCTTTGTCAATGCTATTTTGATCTGTTACCGTCTTTCCCAGCTATTTCAATTTCGCCAATTCCTACTTTACATAAAGCATAAATTTATGATCAACAAATTTTAAATATTTATTATGAAAAATAAATCTCATAATAATCACAAACTTTATGGACAACAATTTGTCCACTACCTCATAATTGAAACTGCAAGATCATTTCCAGTGTCATTTGTTGTACTCCAAGAAAATTATAAAAAAAAAACAGGAAAATAAACTGCGGGAGAGAAATGATGGGAAGCGAGGTACAGCATCTAATACATTTCATTACATTTTTTTCATGTATGTAACTTCTTTCTTCTGTGTTTCATTTAATTATTAAAACACTCGGTACATTTTTTTGCCACGTGTTAAAGCTGTCACTGCTCCTCCACTTGGCTCATTTGCCACGTTAGCAAAAGCACTCTCGACACGTTCGGGACGATACATCTGAAATACTTGGAATCACAAATCTCAGTAAATAAACAGTCGTGTACTGGACGCATGGAACACGGACAGTTCTTCTCAGTCTCAACATTCAATTTCAAATGATCCATTTCTTTGTCAACATTCCAAAGCCTCTTCCAATCACACGACAATCACGCACAATTTGTAGCTGCATCTTTTCTTGGGTTCATCTTCGTCTTGCTACCCTACAAGGGTAAGGCTTTATTAAGTTGTATTTTAAGACGAAACCTTCATCACCAATTATTAATACAAATGGCATTAATTCATTTTGCTGCACAGTGGCTTGTCATCTGACACATTTAACATTCTGGTGTCGCGTATTCTTCCTATGACACACTCGTCAAAAATATCTGTATCATTACTTGTTTCATATTCTCCAATATCTGCACATATGAATTTATTGTCTAGTTCAACAACTGGAAAAAATTTCTGTACGCAGCAGAAACACTATGAGCAGCTGTTCTTTGGGGACGTCATAAGTCACGGAATAACTTGAACAGCTTCCTTCCACATTTTCACAGTAGGTTCAGTCACGCGTGTAAATTCAATTTTCGCAAAATTGCGGCAAAAATTCTTGACACAATATCACCAATGGTTATGAATCTGACTTCAATGGCATCGCCAATCGTTCAGTGTCACCAGTAGCAACAAATACAGACAACAAAAAACAATTAAAATTATTCTTCACAATAAATTCATAACCTATAGACTAATTCTATGTAGGAAAAATGTTCATGAAACATAATACATAATAAGAATATATTATGTTACACTGTCGCATGCAGGAACGTGTTGAAAAAATAAGTGAAGGTGTACGATCGACCGTTACTTATAACATCTCGGCAGAATAAAACCACCAGAGACCAGACTTTAAAGATGCCAGTAGAAAAAGTGTAGCGAAGCTTCCATTAATATAATAAAGTGACCACCTGCACATCTGAATCATCCGTGTATACGTCTTTGTGAGGAAGAAGCCGACGACACGAACCACCCTCACCTTCCACCTTACCATCGCACTGGTGAGGTCATAGTCATTATAAGCAATCCATCCATCCAATGAAACTACGGCCCAAGTTCAGGCCTCGGCCTCCTCCCATGTGGGAGGCTTCCTGGTCTTTGAAGTGCGGACTTGTGAGTAGCGAGCGACCAGCCTACAGCCTCTGCACAATTTCTACTCAATCCTGATTTTTGTCTGCTACAGCCATCTAGTAAAAATGAACCTACCAGCTTTACCATGCACATTCGTCCACGTCGAGAACCACTAGATGGATTTTCACGAAACTTGATAACAGACAGTTTTCCTAAAATGTATCAATATATTCCATAACAGTAATAATGTGGGCCCCAGAACCAATCAGAGGCTAGAAAAAAACTATTTTGCTCCTACGAGGGATCAAACACTGGTGGTCCAGTCCATAGTCAAACACTACAGACGCATACCAGTAACTGTAGCGGCTATTAACAAGAAGCAAATGGCTCAAATAATGTTACTTGCAGTTACTTACCTAATGTATGTTTCCATTATGCGTTAACGTATGGATGTCAACGACGCCTACAGCACACAAGCACACCAGAGCCGCTCCTTGCTCTGCTCTGCGTTTATTTTTCTCCCTGTAATATTGTAACGACATAAATATTTTGATAATTAATCTGTTATCAATAATGATGGAAAAGCAGTGGTTTTTGTGGCCCTGTAAAGGTATTACCTCCCCACTTAATGGTACCTGCGCCTTGTCGTGGTGGTGGGGCTTGAGTACCTCAGTGACCCCAAGAGCTACTGGTAGGGCCTCCCTAGCCAGATTGGTCGAGGGGGAGAGGTCAGACTAAGACAGGTACCCTGGTCCTCCAGGTTGGGGGTTGGTCACAAGGCTAACAACCTTACACCGTAAAAAGGAAGATGTTTCGAAACCTCGATCAAAGCCTCGGACAGACGGACCTAACAGAGGAATGGAAGAGGAGAATTGAGGAGGCCGTGGACTGAATACGGACCGGAGAGCCATAGAAGAAGAAGAAGAAGAAGAAGAAAGGTATTACCTATTGTACTGAAAATAAGAATGTTTAAATGTGCTAATTAGTATCTTCAGAACAATTAGTGCTGCTGTATCAGACCACAAATAAGGAAAACAATAATTCAATGTGCTTATAAGCAAAATGAGCAATAAGTGTGATTCAGGTTCTCACAGCCACGTGTATGAAGACGTCAGTCTCCTTGGACGTTGTACCGTGTATTCTAGAATAAGTTTACGAACATTTTGGAGGTGCTCGGTGCCTCGATCATCACGGTGACAATAGTAACGATGAGGGCCGGAAGCACAAAATTTCTAAAACGCAGTCATCATCAAAATGAGCAACCAAAAACTACAACTTACCAGTAAGAAGAGCTGTATTTCTTTCCATCTACCACCACTACAGACTTGAAAAGTTTATCTTCCTGCTGTGTAGCGTAAGCAGGATGTTTTAGACCTCTGGCTCTCGTCCACGCGAGAAGCCGAGTCTTAGGAAGATCCACATCTGATGAGTACAGGCTCCGAAGGAAGGCACACTGCATTTCAACCACATCATCAGCAGCGGTTTCACCGCCTGTTTTCCTTTTCTTAATTTCTGGTTCAAGCAAAGTGGGAACAA